CCCGTGGTACCCCCCAGAGCCACCCCCACACCAGCTGCACGGCCCCAGGGACACCCCGAGTTGTGGGGCAGCTGGGAGGGGGCAGGGGAATGTTGGGATTCACCTGGAAAAGCCCTACAGGTGTGGGACAGGATGTGGGGGCTCCAGGCATGGCAGTGCCCCCCTCTCCTCCCAGTAGCTGAAGTTCCCAAATCCTCCAGTTTTCCACCCAGAGCTGCCCAGCCCGGGGGTTCCTCCTGGAGGTGGCCGTGCTGGAAGGGCTGGTTAATCATTCTGGGTGGCCAGGGGAGGGGAGGGGACTGCGGCCACCGGTCACCCCAGGGAGGGGACCCAGTCCCTCACTGCTACCCCAGGCACTGCTCGAGACCCTGGGCTCAGAGCTGACCACTAACCCAACTGGCCAATCAGCCAAGTGACATCCCAACTACCCGAGCAGCTGACCCACTGACCAACTGGTTGACCAGTCAGTCAATGAACTGATCAAGAGACAGACCAAATGGTCAACCTGTTGGCCAAATGACCAATGGATGTACTGCCCCAACAACCAGCCCACGGACCAATGGACTGACCACTCAACTCTCCGCCTGATTGACCAACCAACCAACCCACCACCCACCCAACTGGCTCAAATGTCCTCCAAGCCAGCTGGGGACGGTTGTCATTACTTGGCATTTGTCTGGCCAAGGTGGACACGGTGGTCCTTCACCCTCAGTCCTCTCAGAGAACCCTGATGGCCCCATGGGATCTTGTTGAGCGGTGGCAGCCAGGACATACCTGATGGAGATGCCATTGATTGTCCTCTCAGCCCTCTCTGAGCACAGGGAGCGCAGTGGACAACAAGCTGGGCCTTCACCCTCTTCCTCTTCCTCCTCCTTTATGATTCCCTGACCCGAATGGCAAAGTTTAAACTCCAACTGCACAGAAATAATATCCTAGATTGCAAAATGTCCCAGCCCTGATTGGGGCCGTCAGAGTGAGATGGCAGGGCCACCCCGGGGCTGGACCCGTAACTCATTAGCCAAATGTTTTTGTGCTCCTCTGCCAAGCGGGGCAGGAGGGGCCGGGGCTGCCGGGCGAAGTCCAGGTGCTATAATTGTCCGTGAACCTTCACCCACTTTTGGGGACAGTTTCCCTTTTTCAGACGTCTCGGCGTTAATCACATTCGATGACTGCTGAGCGCAATATCCGGGGACCTTTGCTTGGGCTCTACCACTTGTGGTTTATCCAAAACCACCTTGGTGCCCTGTGGTTCTCCTGGAGAGAGACCATTGGCAAGGGATGGAGGGACAGCACATAGGGAATGGCTTTCCAGGGACAGAGGGCAGGGATGGGTGGGATTTTGGGAAGGAATTGATGTGAGGGTGGGCAGGCCCTGGCACAGGGTGCCCAGAGCAGCTGGGGCTGCCCCTGGATCCCTGGCAGTGCCCAAGGCCAGGCTGGACAGGGCTTAGCACAGTGAAAGGTGTCCCTGCCCATGGCATGGGTGGCACTGGATGTGTTTAAATTCCATCCCAACCCAGCCCATCCTGGGATTCCGTCAGTCCCTCATGTCTCGGGTTCACACGCTGTGTCCCCTTCATCCCCCTGCACTGAGGAGCACCGGCCCAGCTGCACCTGCGTGCCCTCAGTGAATGGCACCCCGGGCACAGGGACAGAGGGGACGGAGCTGACTAAGNCCCGTGAAGAAGATGAAGGTGGAGCCTCTCCTCACCTGACCTGGACTGTCCCTGTCTCACCTGGGCTGCTTTTCCTACTACCGACTTTTTTTTATACCCTTAAATATTGTCCCTTTTTTTATGTCAGTATTAAACATACTTGAATTGTGGCTCACGGAGCAGCTGCACCCACGGGCCTGAGGAGGGCCTTGCATAGGGAAATTCTTCCCTGTGAGGGTGGTGAGGCCCTGGAATGGAATTCCCAGAGAAGCTGTGGCTGCCCCTGGATCCCTGGAAGTGCCCAAGGCCAGGGTGGATGGGACTTGGAGCACCTTGGGACAGTGGGAGGTGTCCCTGCCCATGGCAGGGGTGGCACTGGATGGGCTTTGAGGTCCCTTCCAACCCAAACCATTCCATGGATGGGAATTACAGAATTCCATTCTGTAATTCCACGTACTTGGTCATGGAAGGGGACTGGAGCTGGCTGGATCCCAGTTGGACTCAGGGCTGGGAGCTGTGGGAGGGTGCCCTGGCCCCAGCTCCAGGTTGGGCATGGCCGTCTGTCCCCCCACATTTCTGGGCCCCTCATGGCAGCTGGGCTTGAGGTTACCCTGGCCCACAGCTCCTTGAAACCTTGTGGATCACCCTCTTAAATTACAGCAGGTGGATTTTTTCCAAAATATCTTATATTTAGAGATGAAAATAAAATTCTAAAATCAAAAACCAAACCAAAACGAAAACAAAACCAACCAGTTGCACCATCAGCAGCCAACCAGGGCAGGGCCCCTCCTGCTTCTCAGCCCCATCCTGAGCGACCTCAGGTCCTTTCCAGAACTCCCACTGTGCCAGAGGGGCAGGAGCAGCCCCTGTCCTCCCAGTAAGGCCAGTGGGAACCGGTCTCCTCTTCCCAGTTCCCAGAATCCAAGCAAAGCCAAGCAGGTCCAGCATCCGGAGGCAGATCCTGGAGGGGTCCCCCCGAGGGTGTGTCCTGTAGGGGACGAGGTGCTGGCACCCCGTGGCACCCCCGT